CACAACCCCTCAAAAAGCTAACGCTTATATTTAATAGATGATTCAGCAAAATTGCGGAAAAAACAGAAAAATGTTTTTGACAAAACTTTTATACGTATATTTAATAGCTGTATATAAGCTATACAGTTATATATAGCTGTATTTCAATTTTTTCAAAAATATAATATTTTGAAAATACTTCTATCCCCATTTTAAGTGTTGAGGGATTGTTTATCTTCTTAAATTTTCCTGTTGTGACTGGCCCTTTGTTAGGTAAAAATTTCCTTGAAATTGACGGAATTGAAGGAACAAGATTCTGTTGTTCGTGACATTTAACTCGTCGGAACTCTCTAGTCTTCTGCAAGTCTAGGAGAACTCATTCATAGATGATCGTTTGTCAATATCGCGAGTTCGATATATTTACACTATTTACATGCACTATCTAATGGTGGGACATAGAGACCAGAAATCTGGATAAACTAAATACTAAATAATACATTTGTATAGAATCGTCGAAGACAGCAACGATGAACGTCAGGAACATCCACACGATGACGTACTGCGACAAGTGCGGTGTCACATTCACGACGCAGCATGCGCTTCTGCGGCATATCACATCCAAACACGAGGACTCGCCGAACTCCGCGGTCTACTGCAACATCTGTCAGCGTGTCTTTAAAACCAAATGGAGTCGGGCAACGCACAACAGCAGATACCACAGAAACTGACCGAAAACTAGCCGAGCCTAATGTCAGAAGTTCAACATGTAGTATTAGCAAATTGGCGCAGTCAATCAATTCCATTATTGATTAATAATAAAGTGCTTTTTTGTACCTTATATCTACTTAGCTTTTTCCTGAACTGTCGATGAACTATCATTAGAAAATTTATAGTCAGAATTTTATTATATTATTATTATGACTTTAATTTAAATAAATTGTTTAAGTCTTGATTTAAGAAAAAATATGGAGAAATGAGGGAGCATTTATCCTTACATGTGAATTAATGATCATCGTCATTTATTCCTTTCGTCTGTTTCTTTTTAAGAATTAGAAATCGTTCGTTTATAATTGATATATTTGTGATAAGTAATGTAATAATTATTTGTAAGGATTGAAATTGAATTGCAGAAATTTTATTAATTTATTTATTTTTTACCTATTTTTAGATTATAATTCTGTTTATATTTTAATATAAGTGAAAGAAAAGCAATGCATAATTGAAATAGAAATATGGTAATTACTTTTAATCATATTTAATTAAATTTAATTGATAATCATTTTTGGAAAAAAATAAATGTTTACAGTTTTAATTCATACACTTCTTCCTCAAACATTTATATTTAAACTATTTATATTTAAACTACTTCTTAAATAAATAAGAAATTTTAAATCAAAAGTGTGATCACATCAAGGATTTAGATAGAATTGCAGTCGCAGCTAGAGTAGTGTTGGTAATTTGGTATATGATATATTTAATGTGTATGGAATAATCGACTATTTGTGGAAAGTATTTAATGTTGTCTTTAATTTAATGTTGTGTGAATTCGAGTTGGGTCTCGTTCTTTTTTTTACCATTTATTAATAACCTATGTAAAATAAATTATTTCCTTTAGGTATTAACTTTTTATGTATTGTCTTTTAAAAAAAAAAATAAAATTTTTCTTTTAGTATTACAATTTCAAATTTATATGCTTGCTATGATTTGTATTTATTATTATTAAAGACATATTAAATAAAGAACTGTGTAATTGATTATACAGTTTGGACAATGTGTGTGTGACATTTTCTTTCCCTAAATATAAAATTATTTTTAACGTTGCATTCCACGTAAATAATTAAAAATAAAATCTAACAATATAATATTATAAAATGTATATAATGCATAACGCAATAATAGAAAGGTAACACATGTGTTTCCATTTACATGAGAAATTATTTTAAATAGAAGTATGCAGTGCTAGATTCATGATTAAATTACTTTATTAAATATTTATTTAGGTTGTAAAGATCACATGACTATGTTATCCTATTTAAAATAACATAGAGTTTTCAAATCCCTCTTGACCGCACATACGTGATGATAAACATTTTTTTTGTTCTTTTTTCCTTTCTCTGGCTCTCGCAGTTCCTTAATATTCTCTCGCTGTCATTTATAAATGAGGAATGTTATATCTACAGCCTCCTCTCAACGCAAGTACCAAATGCAGCACCGAACCACCCTGGACTTTGTAATCTTGCGCAGTTTTTTCGTCGTTCCTGTGAAATAAAAATATAACCTTCCTCACGTTTTCAATATTTTATACTTATAATTAATTAATCACACATGTCTCAATAATTAAAATTATATTTGATAAATAAAATTAGTTTTCTCTCATATAAAATTAATTAATCTTTCTAAATGGAATATTCTTTACACACCTGCTTTAGAAGAGAATTGATTAGTTGAATAAGATGTTTTATATGTAATTTTTTATTTCTGGTTTTATTTAACAAAAACTTAGTCTTAAATATAAAGTATGCATCAAAAGTAATGAACACATTATTGTTAAAGGAACGCAAATTCCAGAGAAATGGAACATAGCACATCACCACCTGGAGTATATACCTTTGACTGCTAGGAAGATCTGTGCCATGAGAAGGTGTAAAGTGTGCACAGCAAAGGGATTTAGAAGAGATACACGTTACTATTGTGCTGCTTGTAATGTTGGATTATGTGTAACACCATGTTTCAAAGAATTTCATATAAATGTGTTTAAAAATTAGGATATTAAAATTATATAAAGAAGATCACCAACTGCTAGTCGTTGATCTTGAAAGTGATATGTTGTTGAAAAACACGCACCAAGGTAATCATAGATATATGTATTGTCTTCTGAATAAACTCTGATGTATAGAGACTGTGGTTAAAATCTTATTACAAATTTACATGAACCTCAGATATGATAATGGTTATGTTTAAGGCTCATGTTTTTGAACATAGAAATAAATCCCAAACATAATTATTAGTGAGGACACTATGTATATCAATACTGATATTCTGCATACTCCGTATATCATACTACAGGTCTTTTACATTTGTGATCACTTCGATATGTGCTTTCCAACATGTATCACTTGTTAGGACTCGCGATTAGCAGGATCTTTCTTATAAATATGATAAATAATTCCAAAATCACAAATTCAATTCTTCACCAATCACAAGTTTTAGAAATTTTGTCTCATGTGATGTACGTCATAAAATCATGATAATACTTATACGTACATCTGTTTGCCAGAGAATATTAATCGCTGCTGTTGAGGTGGTATTCCCTCCTTCTCTTCCACTCTTTCTTTAATTCTTTCGACCTTGTCTGTAGGTTCTATGTCTATTTCAATCTAAAGAAATTGTACATTATATATTTAATCAACAACATTCATATTATACATATATTTAACTAAAGACTTATACATAATAAATGTATTTTATTTTTACTTATGTTAGATACAACTACTTATGTCCGTTTCCATCAATGTAAATTAACTTTAATTTTAGTTCTCTCAACTTAGTCTTCATCTTTTTCTAAATCCAAAAATTAAAAAAAGATGAAGAATAAGTTAAATCAAGATCATATTAAATTAATAAATAAGACATTTCCATGAAAAAATAGCATTATACTCGAAAAAATAGTAACTCAGAGAACGAGATACAATTCTTGATTTAAATGTAATGGCCCGTATTCAGAACGTGCTTATAACGATGTTAGCATTCTACATACATGCTATAGAATTTATGTTATGCATACTATAGAATTTTAGAGATAAAAGCACGCTTTTATTAATAAAAACGCATTCTGAATATGGACCAATAATTTATTTCATTGATATAAATCGAAATATCAACAGAGTAAAAAAGTTAACTTCAATTTTTTTTGTGCAATATGGCTCTATCACTTTCCAAATATTTTTAATTTAGAAATCTTGTGAAGATACAACAATTAACAGTTTCGAAATAGACTGAAGTATCAAATTGTTTTCTTTTTTTGTAACCAAGCGAAGTCGATATTTCGCTGATAGAAACCGTGGGGATTTTGTATTCGGATTACTCGTAAAACCGTTTGATTTCGAAATACTTGCCTCTTTCCCTGTAAGAGTCTGAAACAAAAATAAAAAGTTACGAGCCGGCGTGAATTTTGCGGTGGATAAGTCGAGGACCAGCATAATTACCTTCACTTTTATCAACATCTTTCAACAATTAACGGCTATGCTAAATTTTGACAGCAATATCACCGGCTGAAACTCGCCAACGCTGTAGAAAAATTGGACAGGCAAAAAATCTACGAATCGCAAAATACTGTCAATCCACTGCACGACTCTAACCTAGCTTTCCGGAATTGTGTCGTGTCGCCATCTGCTGGTAACAGACGTTTTATATATATATCTATATATATTATCGAAATAAGACTTTATTTTATTCAGCTCTTTATTTAGGAAATTAAATTATATTCTATTCACACCATTTTGTACACTTAAGAATACTTATAAAATAGTGTTGCAAATTACATTCCTTTGATCTTACTTTAAACATAATCCTGGTGAAAATTTTTTTCAGAATTTCTGAATTTTATAATTTTTTAGAAATTTGTCAGATTTTTAAAATATAAATTAGAATGTTTCAAAAGCTCTAAGAAATCTGCATCTTTCTTGGAATCCTTAAATATTCTAAAATTTCTCATTCTATTATTTCTAATAAATCTTATATAAACTCTGAAAAAGTTCAAAGTATTTTTTCAGAAATTATAGAATGAGAAATCTTTCAAAATTTCAGAATTTACATATACCATGAAAAATTTTAAGGATATAAGCTTTCTTAGTAAACATTTCTAAAGTGTTCCAATTCTCAGAAAATTTTCACCTTCAGATAATTAGTTCGTAATCTATTAGACATATATTATAATTAAGTAAATATCACATGTTGCACATTATAAAAATTTGTTTCTATGTATTGAATATGATTTAACATAATAGTTATATTGTGTTACGCAATAAGTTGTTAGAACAACATAATTTACAGAAAAAAATTTTTCATATTTGTCATAATTTTTACAAGTTCAACATAATTGTCATTGGGAAATTGTTGATTAATAATGATAAAATTCCTAACGATCTGTCACAATTTTCAGCTTCTCCTCTTGAGCTAATAGTTGATTCTTTATCTTTTGTAATAGTTCCTTCTTCACGGAGTCTGGCACAAGTGTGCGAGCTCTACTTGTCACTGTGGACAACAACGTGTCATAAGAGATATCATGGCCATGCTCTTTTATTATTTCTTTTGAGATCAGCTTTACTTGATCTCGCCATCCACACTCGACTAGTCTGCGCCTCAACAACTCTTTCAGTCTGCAAATAAATTTCACAGACATGCAATATTCTGTTTTAGATAAGAGATGATTAGATTTATTTAAAAAATTTTTCTAGTAATAAAAATCCTGGCTATAACAAATATAACTCGCGATCCATCTTGAGAAAGTTATTTGAAGTTAGAAAATCTTGATATATATAAATATATATAATTTTGATATGTTGTATTTACCCATCACGATCGCCAACCATGACTAATCTCTGATGTGCTGTCTTCATTAATAGTCTTATCTATGCGTGATTCAACTTAAGAAGCTTCTTAATTATTGTTCTTTTGTTAACCTTTCAACTTTAAGTCAACAATTCAACGACAACAAGGTAGTTGTTTTGAAGAGCAAGACCATCTTAAGCCGGTATTCCAATTTGGATTTTGTTCAGGATTCTAATTGGTTGGTGATATAGGGAATTTCTGGGATTTTTCAAGTTTATGCTGTGCTATCATTGTTACTGCACAAATTAGCAATAGGTTTGTTCACGTTGCTTGAAATACCCAAAAATTTTTGAACAGTGTGGAAATTAATCGTATTAAAGAATTATTAAACATTGATTAATTTTCTCTGCTGAACGCTGCCAATGGTCGCGTTCAGCAGAAAGAACAGCTTTACAACTGTTGTAAAATTAATATATGATTAATCTTGCCGTTAGTTCCTCATTGGACCTAAATATATAAATCAATCATATTCAAGAATTTTATAACAGTTGCAAAACTGCTTTTTCAACTGAATGCAGCCGGTACATTCAGCAGACTCAACAGTTGAGTGAGCGCTCGCAATTATTGGTGTATTCTTTTGGACCATCCAATCAGATTTTAGATCTAGAAGAATGCACCAATAACAGCGAGCGCTCACTCAACTGTTAAGTCCGCTGAATCACATCCAGAAGCAAGATCGCTCACTGAGCGCTCAGTGAGCTCTTGTACCTATTTGGTTTATATTTTTAGATCTAATGGAATATGCCAATCAGATGAAAAAGCTCACTGAGCGGTCTTGCTTCTGGATGCATCTAATGGGCACATTCAGGGGACTCAACAGTTGAGTGAGCGTTCGCTGTTATTGATGTATTCTTTTAGATGATCCAATCAGAATTTTAGATCTAGAAGAATACACCAATAACAGCGAGCGTTCACTCAACTGTTGAATCTGCTGAATGCCCATTGATTGTACTGAATGTAGCATTTTGAGATTGTACTTGAGACGATCTTATGCCTGGTTTATGCTTCGGTCCTAAAATTCAGCCAATAGAGTTCAAATTTCGGTTAGAACTGGTAGCTTTATTGGTTGAATTTTAGGATCTTGGGATTAAGACAGTAAGACTGAAGCATAAACCAGGCATTAGATGTAAATAAAATTAGAATATAGTATTGCTCTATAAACATTGGCTCAATCTTGTTATTTAAATTGAATTTTTTTTAAACTTTTAAGAAGCGATATCTTGAATATAAGATTTGAATCAGATTACTGTCTGGCTACAGGCAACCGAGTATTCGAGAAAATTTTTTTATAAGAATTTATTTTCAGTATTTATTGTATATGAGTTAGTACGTAAATTGTATCATGTAAGTGTTAATTGTGTTAATAATGATAAAAAGAGAATAATATAATTTGAACAGAACAAGAGAGAGATTATTGTATTTATTCACATTGCTAGTATCGGCAAAGAACCGGTTAACCTTAAATTAAGCTCTCATAGATTTAATATTTTTGTGTTATTAAAAAAAATTTTTTATTTTAGAATATGGCGTCAGCAAGAATGTTGAATCGTATTCTTCAGAAAAGCCATTCAATCACCCATGTGTCAAATACTTCATATTGTCTTAATATTATAGTACCTAGGATTAAACACAGTGCTTACTATTCGACTAAGAAATCTGTAACTAAGGTAGACTCCAATGAAACTAGTAATCAGGTACAGATTGGTACTGCAAAAGTAGGTAAATTTCACATGATCCATGTTTTGTATTATTGTCATATAATGGTTACATTTATCTCTCCTTTTTGTTTTTTAGTTAAAGAAAATCTGAAATCTGCTGGATATCTTGGAGTAATAATAGGTGGCATTGGAGTTACAGTTTTTATGTTGTATTCTTTATTTTCGGAGCTATTTTCCAGCAAAAGTCCATATGCTGTTTACAGCAAAGCTCATGAACGTTGTATAGAACATCCAAAAGTCATAGATATTCTAGGAGCACCTGTAAAGGCTTACGGGGAAGAAACTGGACGTGGACGTAGAAGACATATCACGTATGTACCAGATAAAGAATTTTTACAGCATTTATATATATAAATTATAGATACATTTTGTACATATTTATATGAATCTTACTTTAATATCTCTATATCTATTTTTCAGTCATATGTATTATGTTAAGGATGGTGTGAAGTATATGAAAATAAAATTTTATGTACAAGGAACAAGAAGGAAAGGAACAGCATATGCAGAAGTGAAAGAGGTAAGGCTTAATGTACAATTGGAAAGCATAGACAACAAGAACAGGAAAGATAAGAGATTTCAACGAAAAATACACAATTTCTGATAAATTAAAAAATTTGTTATATCTTGTACCTATTGTGCCTGTACTTTTCATTGAGTGCCTTCCAACAAGCGATACAGATGACACGGTGTGATATAGTGTATCAGTATGTCCTTGTTGTTCGCCAATGTTAAACAAGGATGAGATGATCACTGTGTTGCACCGTGTCGCTTGTTGGAAGGCACACATTGTGTCTAAGGCTTAAGTTTGTAAGTTTGTAGTTAAGAATATATTTATACTCTTTACATGTTCAATTTTAATTACAGAATGCATCTGGCAATTACGAATATTCATATCTGTACGTTACAGTAAATTATGTTGGAACAATTATGATAGAGGACAATCAAGATACTGTTAAAACGCGACAAGATGACAATTCTACAATGGATTTTAACTTGATACTGGATAATCGTTAAGTGTATAATATAATCTGTTGATATGTAAATAGTGTTATTGGAATGTATATGCAACAAAATTTTATAAAATGTAATTTTTCTTATTTATATATTTCTTATATATTTTTATCTATACATTTTTATATTGTGTTTTAAGCAAGACATGAAAATCGATTAAGACTTCTCAAATAAAAGTTGCAGACATTCAATTCAACCAGAAGTCTAATTTTTTTTGTTAGATTTTTCTAATGTAATAGTTTTCATTATATGGAATCTGTTTTTCTCGATTCTTATGACGTTGTTTATTTAGGAACTTTCATCATTTTGTATTTCTATACTTATTCTAAATTTGACTGAGAGAGTAATAGGAGAAGATTTATAAGTGTCTCGGCACGTCCGCCACGAAAACTGAACTGACTTACGAAATTCAGAGAACGAATTCCTGCGTGGTGTGTTACGTAAGAGCTAAAAATATGTATTATCCTCGCTATCATTTACTCACGCTGTTGTGCGCGTCTACATTAGTGTCTTTTATCAGACGCTAACTTAACTAATACAGGCTTACCATAGCAATTCGTATATCAAGTTATGTACTTCTTCCTCGCGTGTAATCTCTCATCCTGTAAAAGAGGTTTACATTTGACAGTCGACTATTTTAAATTTCCTAATTTAATTTAAAATTCTCTTTAAATTATTTTTCTTAATTTTAATTTAATTGACTTAACAAATTTATTAATTTAAATAAGTATGAAAAAAATAGTAATTCAAAGCACGACATATTATTAATATTATATTGTTATATTCCAATAAATATTTTATTTCATCAGTAAAATATCAATTTTTCGTAAAATAAAATTTTCCATACGACCCAATTTTTCTAAATGAAAATTGATATTTACGTATCCTTGTAACGTTTTATAACATAGCAAAAAATACGTAGGAGCTATGCAACGGAGTCATTAACGAGCGTAGCATCCACTTTACGATCTGAAGAGGCGTGTCTGAACAACGTTGCATAAAAGGTGTCTACGTTAGTGTACATTCGCATATCATTACTGTTAAACCGTCTCTCCTAAAAGTTAATCGAAGACTGGCGGGAGATACTGTCGTTTGCTTCGCTACCAATGGCAGCTGATTTTCACTAACAGTCACTCGACAACTCGGTATAGAGGCTGACACGCTGTTTTAATCATCTCGTATGCACGCGTTCGGGATGTGCACAGTGATGTGATATCGTGCAAAGTCTCATTTATAAAAGAAAGATATCTCAGATTATTATTCCACAGGTATAGAATTATATTTCGGAGTTGTTTTAAAAGAAATTTTATAATTACGAGGAAATTAAAACGTATTAATATGTATATTTTTATGAACAAAAAATTTATGTATCTTTTACAAATATATACATATATATATATACACACATATATTTGTAGAAAATTAATACATACTAAATATATTTAAAAAATGAGAAAATTAAAATATTTATTTTCGTTCAATAAATATAAAAAATTTTGTATATTATTTTTTAAAATATATCGTAAATTACAAAAATATATTATAACTTACAATAATTTTCTAATTTGTTTTTAAGTATTAAAAACTGAATTATATATATAACACTAGACACAAAGTTTCTTACAAACTTTTAGTAAAATTTATTATTTATTAAAACAGTAATTTATTAAAAGATATAAATAATGTGTTGTTAATTTATTATGTTTTAATTAGTACAGAATATAATTAAAGTTATGTTATGTGATGAAGATATCTTTGATTCACATAAATTTTGTATTACTTCGTAAATTTTTTTTAGATATTTTAAAAATATCTTTAAAACTCTTTACATTATTTTTAATTCATAATTTCTTAAAGATATCACTATTTATAATATATTTTTAAGATATTTATATATATATATATATTACACTATTTTTATTTCATAATTTCTGAAAATATCGTAATAGTATTTATAAGATAGATATTTCATAGTGTTTAATGAATAAATTATATATTATGCAGTTAACAATTTTTTTATTCAAAGTGTCACTTTCATGTGCTTACAAACATCAATAAGCCGCCTATACGCTTTGTGAAATATATCGTTTTAAACAATTCTCGTTCGTATTTAATTAAAATGTACTTAATAACCGATTTAGAATTAATTCGAACCAAAAGACATTTAGGTAAACTTAAAAATAATAAAAGTATCTCTCTCTATAAAAGGGCAAAATGAGTCTATCATGACGTCAGTGAAACAAATTATTTATTGAATAACAAAAAAGTTTTACATGTCATAAACAGTTCCAGACGTTTCGGTTCATTTTGTTCTTTTATAGACTTTTTTGTAATTTTTAATTTGTTGAGTCATATTAGAGACTTTGGTAATTTTTTTGGAAAATAATAACTATTCACATATAACAATTACACTGTTCAATTATTTCTAGGTTTACAAATTGTTAAACTGTTTAATTGTTTTTAGAATTTCATGGAGAATGCGGAATCTTCATAAATGCTATTAGAAATTTGTAAGATTTAGAAAATGACGATAATTGAAATTAATGAACATTGTATCAGGCATGATTTACAAAACGTAGATTTATGATTGATGAGCAATATTGAGGATATAATTTTTTTTACAAATAGCGATTGTGTTCACGGCTAATTATGATAAAAAGGTGTTGCTCATGCTCGTGCCTCTCCGGATTTAGGGCCGTGTTCAGGCCCCAGCAAATCGGACCACGACCACCCTCTATTCCTTTTGGTAAGTTGATTTTAGTTTTTAATTACCGTTAATTTCTAATTAAATATCTGACAATCAATTAATAACGATAATCGAAAATTACATAAAAATTCTGGTAGTTTAAAAAATATTTAAGACACATTTAACAAAAATTTATTAAATTTTAATAAATATTTGTTTAAATAGTAAATTAACTAAACATTTACAATAAATAAATATTTACTCAATAAAAAATGATACTTAAATTAAATTAATATTTTCTGTATCAAACAGAAATATACGTTTATATTTAGTAAATATTTAGTTAGTACTATTCAAACAAATATTTGTTCCTTTTTAAAATTTTGTTCCTTTTTTTCGGTATAATTTATATTAATATTAATGCCATAACATCATTATATATTTGTACACGGAGTGTAAGAAGAAATCCTAATTATAATGCTATATTATTAATGCTGATTAAAAAGTTCAGGAAGAAGGAGTAACTTTTCGAATAGATTACGTCCTTAATGTTTTCTCGGGGCAAGCTAAATATTCTTGCGGGATTACGATTATCTGCATATCTACCGAAAGTTTTGACTGCATTAAGAAAGAGGAGCTAAAAAATCGTAAAAGAAAGATTAAGAATATTATTTTCCCTTCGTTCAGAACAGCTATTGCGTGCTCGCTTCTGGTACGAGAGTCAATAAATTTTTACGTATCTCTCTCCAACTTCTCGTCTCACATTACCGAGAAGTGACGGACAATATATTTGCGGATATCAAAAATGAAGTAATTACATGTCTACTATTATTAGTACGATATCTGTAATTATTGAAAGCCATACAATTATTTACCCGATATTTTAATCGTTCTTGTATACGTAATTCGTGAGAATCGGAATACAAAAGTAATTACCTCTATTGTATACACAATGATACAATTTTTTTAATTTTATTTCTATTTTATTTCTTTTATAATTTTTAATCTGTTGAATATTATATATATTTTCTTCTTTTTATTTCATTTTTATTTTTTTTTTCATTTTTTTTCATTTTTCATTAATTTAGTTTCAAAGTATTGTACAATATATTAAAAATTAAATATATGTTTTAGCTTGAAAGGATCCTATTCTAGAAATAAATAATGACATCTGTTTAAAATCAATTATATTTGTTTTGAAACCACAGGATAATGTAAAAATTCAATTAATATTTTCTCAAATTATTTTTGCACATTATTTTCTTTAATCAACAATTGAATTTGTCAAGCCGAGTGATCTATTTGCTGTGTCTTATTTGAGTAAATATGAGCTCGTTCTGCAAAATTCGTGATCGAACAAATCTCGATAACAAGGCGTATCTAGCCTGACACCACGTAGTCAATTGACCCCTCTGAGGGCAGAGTTCGGTATGCGCGGGCGAGGTAGAAATCAATTAATAAAACATATAAGATAGGCGAATGTCGGCGATGTATGAATCACGCAAGTGTAAAATAATGCGACCTGTATTATATGCTTAATAAACAAATCGTTATAAACAGAGCACGTGCGAGGTACTCCTTCGAGGTGGAGATAATATAACGAGATGCATCATTTAGAGTTTTCGTGGATTTTTCATGTAAATGCGAATTATTACGAAGCGTTTTAATTTCTTCAATTCTACGATTTTATAATATTCAAAAGTATGATTTACTAAAATTATTTTTACTATAATTATGAACAATTATCATTAATTAGATTTCGCTTGTTTTTTGCAATACAAAGTATAAAGAAAAACGGTCTAAATCGAACGGTAATTAGATTTTTTAATTGAAGATGTATTGTATTTTTATCTCATGTAAACAGGTTATTAAATGTAGAGAATTACATTAACCAAAATAGAGAATTAAAAACATTAATTAATTAAATTGAGCATGTTTTAAATTTAAATTTACTAGAATACGTTGTAAAAAAACGTGAACAATGATAAATAATTTAGTAACGTTGTAAAAAAACTTGAATATATCAGTAAAGAGTTGAACAACCGAGTCGTGCTATATCAATCTTAACCTTTCAGTCAAGATGCAAAGTACTCTTCCGGTATCCCTAAGGCCTATTTTCAGAATATTGGTCAGGGACTGCTATGCTTATGTTTTATGTGCCATGAAAATGTGTGTTTAGTCAACGATTTTGGGTGTGATAAAAATTACAAGGAACAGTTGACTCTAGTTTATATGTAACGTATGATATCATCATTTAAGTAGAAAAAAATCACAAGATAATTTGATACGTAGGCGATGATTTTATTATCGCGAATTACAAGAATAGTACGATTGAGATGAGTGATCAAATGATTGACATAACATAAAGAGGCTTATTATTAGTATGTTCGAATCAAGTATTGTTGATTATGTTTGTAGTTTATTACGTAACATTGATTTTTTTAATTCGTTGGAAAATACAAAATTAAAAAAAAATTGAAAATATATATACATATTCATATTTATATTCATATTAATATTCAAATTTTTCAGCATTTTTACTTTCTGCAAGTTTTCGTTTTTGCTTGAGTTAGACAAATTATATGTATATATATTTTGCCCTTTCCAATAATTCAATATAAATTTTTCTCGAAACATAAAAGGATATATTAAATTATTTACATTTTCTCAGCGCGCACAGAACTTCTATATTCTGACAAGCGGTTGTATGGTTTGTGAATAAACGCGGATTCAAATCAATACAACGCGTGATTTGTTCTCTCGAGCATGCTTAATTATATCGTGTTCTTCGTTTGAGAAAATAAACTCAGCCAGATAGGAAGTGTCAGCTTCCGCCTCTTCTGTGAGGCGCCGGTCTTCATTATAATCATGTGCATTTAAAAACGGCGGTATTGTTCATTAGGTATTGTCTCGCAAGTGCTGTATGTTCAACATATTGGACTAGATTATTAATTTAAAAATTCCAGTCAGTTCTTCATTCAGTACAGCCATACTTTAGTACAGTTGAATACCGTCAATTCGAATTTTGGAAATATGATTACGGATTGTTTATGAGTGATTCAAAAAACAAATATCGATATTCATGGAAATTGAATAAATTTTGGATTACTTGATCAATGAAATAAATGTTTTCAATAATTTCCATAAGTTTTTTATTCATTCTAACCGCCATATTGGAGCAGCTACTTTAAATTAAAAAAAAAACGCCACGTTTTTCCTTAAATTACATACAATATAAAAACGAAAATTTTAAGCTTTTGAACGTCTTACTTCGACTTCACAAATTTTGCCCAGACACTTGTCCCTGTTGACGTGGAACGTCTCGTGTATATATATGTATATATATACATATATATAATCCACTAATTTTTTTAGGAAAAAATATATAATATATATTATATTATGTTATATTATTTAACAAAAAAAAAAGCAAATAAATTCTAGTTTTATTTAAAGCAACTTTTATAATCTGACTTGTCAAAATAGGGTCTTGAACTCGCGTGTCAGTGGCTTCATTCATCGCTACGAATGAAAGTGAGATTATGCAAGTGGCGCGCCGTGACCGCAAACGGTGACGTCATTTTCGCCAATATAGAAACGCTTGTTATCACCACTTTTCTTCGAAATATTTATGAATTAGATATATTTAAATTATCGACTAAAAACTTAATTTATCAAAGCATAGTTTTTATCGCATGTTTCTTCAAACTCAAGAATCAAGAAAAAACTATAGTTACTTATCACTATTCTCTAAAAAGATAATAAGCTGCGTTATAGGCTGATTTCATTATATTCGATTAGCTATCTTATTTGAATGATTTATTTAAAAATTACGAAATACAAAATTTAAAACTAATATGTCTGAGATTATCATAGTGGAACAATACTATGTTTAAAATTGAGATATAAGATCTTTTAGACATTACAGACATAAAACGTTTTAAAGTCATATTTAAGATGACATCTTTAATACTCTATACAGCACATAAGCCTGCAGTAATATTGCTATGTTACAATAAAATATTGCTGAAACGTAATATAATGATATGTGCTTTATAATAAATCTTATGGCTCGATTTTGGATAAGCGTGTTGACTAGAAATTATATCATTTTGTTTTATTTATCCATATTTTGCAAATTATAATTTATTTACATAAATTATAATATTTTAAATTAGTAATTAAGTGATAAAATTAAAATTATATATATAATTAAAGGAAATAAAAAATTAATGTAGGCATAATATCAGTTTCAAGTTTGCAGTTAATAATCCTTAAATGTAATCGATCGATTAAGCTAATCAAAGATGGTGAAATTGTCCCTCTAATTTATATTCTATTACGTTAAGTGCCGCGCGAGATACAATTTCACAAAATTCTTTGGTGTTTTCCCTCGTCGCAAACTGACCGGAAGATTAGTCACGAAAGCTTCGTTGAATTGTGCTTTCGTGATTACCCATTGGAGACTCTCGTCAGGCATTTTCTTCATTAAGTCACGCTCTTTTAGATAACTTTCTTCATTGACTCATCCTCTTCTATGTAAATTGCTCATCATGTGTACATGTTTTTGAATTTGTATTCTTCTAACTAATTTAGTATTCTTCTGACTTGCGACTTTGACTATTTCCCATCTAGTCTCCAGGCTACGAAAATTTATAAGTCATTATCGCGTAAACTGTGCTCCTGACTGCGAGCGATCATTTAAGACACCTCAACTATACCTATAATATAACCAAAACAACAAGTTTCTCGTTAACAAGCATTTCGTTCGTACATGTTTTTCAGTGCAAGACACGCGATCCCGATAAGAATTCTAATTGTATCACTCGGAAAGAATCGACGCAGAAAATGTATCGTAAAACCTGTATCGAGCGTCCTTCCGAGTCTTAATTATTCACGTTCTATCGCGATCGTCGCATAGATGCAATTTGCGTTTTGTAAAAACAGTCAAACTTCATTTTTTTCATTTAGTTTCGAGTTTAGATTTAAAATCCAGTGATTTTAAAACAAGAAGATTAATTATAAATAATTGGTTAAAAAAATTTGACTAAAAGCAAACAATTTCAATTTAAAACGCCTTATATGATTTTGTCCTATATAGATTTCTTATTTTTAATAATACTTACATGTCCATGATACGTATCATGTAATGTATTATCCCGTGACTGAGTCATTTGAACACCATCATTTTCGTATTCAGACCGATGAAGTAAGCTGATTACAAAGACAAATGGAGCGCGTATTGTTATACGCAGATTGAATAATGCGACAAGAGTAACGTAGTCATTTGCTACATTATTAAAACCCTGTGCTGAAATATGATGTAATAATATTTCTATTTAAAATGTTCTAAAAATGTTTCCGCTTAATTTTGAAATATCTCGACTGTCTTCACTTCTATTGATATCTCGTTTGTCTTCAATAATATAATCTGCAGTAATATAATTCAAGTCAGCAATACGTTACACATTCGACTGACACAGGCAAAAAATACGTATATGACGCAAATCAATTGCTTTTAATGACAGTGTGTTGGAGTGAGAAGTAGTATAAATTAAAAGCTATCGCGTTGTCATATAAAAGTTGATTATATAAAAACTAAATGAAAGCTATCCTCTCATGTATTGGGAATTATCGGTGTTATTGAAAGCTATCATTGAAAACTATTATGAGAAGGACTTTTTTTTTAAATCGTGAGTGTCGCAAATCGCCCCGACTAATACGGAGTCTTGTCTTCCCGTAAATGGTAAAACTTGGTTTCTCTAGCTGACCTGAAATTCTGCAAACTGTCGCGTCGGTTTCATCGAATTGAATTGTATCATATCAACTGAAATGGAAATCGTAAATCGATGATAAAGTGATTTCTTCTTACATGTGTTATCGAAGAGAAACGAGCCCGTTGCAAGGAACGACTAAATTGAACAAAGATCTAGTAATGAGAAATGTGCGATTTCACAGAGATAGTGAAGCTTAATTACCGCTTCTGTTATTTAAATGCGAGAATCTTGTACGATTGCATGTTATAACATGCATTCCAGGATAATGATCGATGGTTTTTTTTCTGATCATTAATCATCGAGATACCATATCATTCTAACTCGTGAGATATTTTTATCTAAGAAATCGATTGTTTCGAAAACGACCATATCGTATTTCTTTAAATCGTAGTAGGTTTTAATGACTTCTCTTTAATTGGTATAATTAATGAATGTAGGTTTATGCTATTAAATTGATTGCATGGGCGCGCAATCCGTAAATTACAAAATGCCATTCGCATCGATCTTTGTAATTATAATTGTTGTAGTTTTTTCTGTCGAAATCAATTGAAAGTAATTTAAAGCTTTAAAGATTTATGAAATTTTATCTCAATTAAGAAATTTTTAGAAAGAATCTAAATAGAGTTAAAATATGTAAAAAATTCAAAGAAAATAAATCTTAAAATTTAAGATTAAAAAATAATAAGAAATAAAAAATGGAATATAATTGTATTGCTTTTAGATTTGCAATTTCCTGTTAAAAAATGTCTTCTAATTAGACATTAGTCACGAAACTCAAGAGCATAGACTTCAATCAAGATGTATGATAACAATTGCGATTATAAATCGCCGACTAATTTATGAGAACGAAAAGTGGGTGACTCCTACTGACAGCGGGTGTCACCGATGACGCCATGTATGGTCGCGTATGCCGCTGCAGCACGTACGTCCTTGAGATTGCTCCTAGAAGCGACCCACCTCAGCTGCAATATTCTTACTTCCTCCTCGTCGTGGCTGCAGATTCTTCAGTCAATCTACGAACTCGTGTCCGACTCGTTCCTCACCCATGTATCCAGCTTTTCGTTCGTATCCACAACCGGGACATCCGGTGCATCCGGACCGTCGCGGGATGTTTTATAGATTCTACGATCGCTACCGCATATTCAACGATCGACGTACTCGACCATTTCCGTTCAGATTCTATTGTGAGTCTCTCGCGGATTATAAAAAATACAATATAATCTCATAGAAAAGAATGAAGCTGGACGCATTTGCGAATTTTGCAATCTTGCATTATTGAAATTTTGGGAATGCGTGGTGTGATCGTTGCTTATACTCGGAATACTCGTAAGATAGTGTAGCTTCTGAGCTATGCAACATTCTGCCCCTTTTGAAAAAAGAAAAGCAAAGGTACGGAGTTTTTTGTTCCCATGTTATTTTTACAGTTTTACTGTTTATTGCCTTTTATAATATTTCGTATTAAAATAAATTAACAAGGCTCAATAAAAAATAAATAATAATACAGAAGAAGGGCTACGAGTCTAATAAAAAAAATTTAATTTAATAACAATGAATATACATACACTGTAAAAAATAAAATGTTAATTTTAACTCAAAGACGTTGAGTGGATTTTCTGAGAGACATGCAAAAATGTTAAAATTAACAATAATTTGGAAATGATTATTTTTCTGTGACATTCTGGAAAATTAATTTCCCATTTTTTCAACTTTCTTTATTTCTTTCCTTTCTTCCGTTATGCATTTGATTGTGCTCCCTAGGATGAAATTTGTCTTTAGAATCTATTCCTCGGTTGTGAGTGAGCTCATTATGATTAAACATCTTTTTATCTTTGTTACTTTTCTTAATTTATAACCTATTTATGTAAATTTTATTGTCTCTGAAAAAGGCTCAAAAATGAGTCGAAACATGTAAGCTTGATTATTTAATAATTTTTTATAATAGATAGATTTGCTGGATATATGTCGGCGTTGCGTAAAGTTATCTACGCTTAATTCCTAGTGCCCTTTTCTTTCCAAGTTAACTTTTAACATTTTTGTGTTAATGTTAAAATTTAATCATTTAATTTTTAAAGATTTAAATATTATTATCATATATATATTTTATTGATATTCTAAATTTTCTGGAAATTTGCTTTGTCACATTACTTCTCTATTCTTCTTTTTTATCTCCTATCTTATTGTTAGTATATACATTTTTTGATCCATCTTCTAGAGGGTGTCGCTATCTGTATTTCATCTATTTCATTACTTTCCTGAAATGTGACTCTCTGATAGAGTATAATTTCTTTTGTCTTACGTGCATTTCACGAAAAAATTATTTCATTATCCATTTTATATTTCGACGCGTTCAGCTTCGGTTGTCACTAGCTTTTTGTTTCATCATTGTTCGTCTTCTTCGTTTTCTGTGCACTTATTATGCTTTTCCGTAAACCGTTAGTTTTCGTGGCTTCCATTCTTTATGACGAGGAGGAAGACAAATCGATGTTTTTGAAAAATTTCTTAATAAGATTTATTACTGAAGACGACGACTTCTTTGCGTCAGTGTCGAACAAAGAGAAACTGGAGTTCATTACAGCTCATTTCTGAGTAGTTCTTCGACTTTTGTTAAAGGTTTAGCTATATTTTTCAAAAAACTGTCTATAAATCATCTATAATAAATAAACATCTCTTGCTAACCTAGAAACAACTAGATGTTCTTGACCTTTTTCATGGTCGAAAAATTTTGTATAGTTTGGACAGATTTGGCAGCATCTTATTTTTTGTTATTATGTGCCTTCGATATTTAAATTACTTTCTTTCGTAGGATGAAGAATTCATGTTCTTCAACCATGTAAATCTCGATTATTGAAAATACTTTTGTAACTGATGCAATGACATTTTATTTCAAGACTTTATAAATATTTGTAATTCAATTGTTATCTGATGCTATTATAATCTTCATTGGAATAGAAAACTCATAATTTTTAGCTTTCTATTAGTAACTCTCTTGTCTTTTTGTATAAGATACTTAAGGAGTTAAGAACGTTGTTATTCGCAGGGGAGGATTTTGGCGTTCCAGTATTAACAATCCACAATGTAGACCCTTGCATTGAAGAGAATGGTGAGAATCATCGTACATCCAGATATGACCTGATAACCCGTCAGGATGACAAAGCAAGACTCGTTGTAAGACGTGGTCAGGAATTTTATTTGCATCTCAGTCTATCTCGAGACTATAGTTCTTCTATAGACGGTATTTCTATCGTTTTTACCTTGGACGGCGTCGAGAGGCCACAATATGGGCACGGAACGTTGGTAGCAACCGCTTTGCTCCACCCCGGAGAGATTTCGGAAGCTGCCTGGCAGACTACCATAGATGCCAGAGGACCAAATTTCTTGAGAATAAAGGCGAGTAAAGGAGCATTGCTGAAATGCGAGATCTTATGACAGCATTTACTATTGAAAATTTAATTTCAATTAAATTTAATACGCTTGCCGTAATTTCAATATGAAACAGTTTTATAATTACGTTATGAATTAATGTTTCATTCTTAAAGTAAAACAGACTTAAAATAATTGAATTTGCATATTGAATTATCGGTGTCTCGCGAAGTGCAATATTAAAACCGTCGACGTTCGTCTTAATTAATTTGGGAACGTTGAATGTACGCATATGAAGTTAGGGAAGAATTAAGATGGAAAAGACTCCTTATTAACAAAGTCTGTCGTTTTTAGGTTGTGACATCCCCAAATGCAATTATAGGTAGATGGAAAATGGATATCGATACCAAGAACAAGGAATCTGAAGGTGCTGTCAGTTATACGATGGATCAGCCATTTTATTTGATCTGTAATCCGTGGTGCAAAGGTATGTGTTTGCAGATATTGTAATCTTTCCTACTAAAATTGGATATCTAATAATGGTTTTTTAAATCGATATTCTTGACCCAAGCAAACATAGGGAAGATTATAAGGTCACTCAGAAATTAATGAACACAATTTTTTACAAATTGGTTTTTACAACCTTTTTGTTATTAACAAAAACCAAAGATATCATCTTAATGTTAACAGAATTTTATTTTTTCTACATAATCCCATTTTTTGTACACATTTTTTCGTTGTAACGACACTGTCTTGTGGATTGCCTTCGTATTGTTGTAATTGCGTTTACAACTTTGTTTATATATCCGTTTACCTTACATCACAAAATAAAATTCTATAATATTACAAAAAAATATTCAAACTTCTAAAAAATGTAATATAAAAATCATGATTGTATAAAAAAGTAAAAAAAAGTCTGTAGATGATGTTTTTAATTTTTCGATAGAATATTCTAATTTATACAAAACTGTACGTGTGTGTTGCTCATTACTTTCGATATGATTCTCGTATTTTAACACGTCACATATGACGCACTAATTCTTATTAAAGCTCAACGTCTCACGTGTATGACACATGAAATTACACGTTCGATTTGCCATTTACTACACTTACATATGCATAAATGAAAAACAAACAGCATATATTGTGTATATTAAAAATAAAACATGTATAGCGGTCGGTTTTCTAATTGCACGGCGGTAACGCATGTGTTATTACTGTTAATTTCGAGTTTTACAGAGTATCTCTACTTTTTCAGACGATGTAGTGTACTTGGACGGTGAGGCTGAACGTCAAGAATACGTATTGGCAGAGGATGGTTTAATCTGGCGCGGCAGTCACAACCGTTTGCGACCCACCGTGTGGAAGTACGCACAATTCGAACGGGATATTTTAGACTGCGCCTTGCACCTGATGAACTATGTTGGCAAGGTCCGCGTCTCCGGCAGGAATGACCCGGTCATCATAACGCGCTGTTTATCTGCTGCGGTAAGTTACACTCGGGGAAGAACTTTTCCCGCAAAATTAACTTGGAAAAAATGGAAAAAATATATTTAAAATACACAGAAAGAACGATTTTATTAAAATATCTATTTAGATAAATACAGATCTAAAAATATTTTATTAGACTACTAAAATATTGTGTAAAAAATTATGCAGGAAATTTAAGTATGATAGCAGTGCAAAAAGTTTTGACATTTTAGCAACCAGCTTAAACGTTTTACATAATTATTTTAAAAGTTATAAACAAAATCCAGCAAAGTTATTTTCAGATCTGTATCTATTAAAATTTTTAGATAGTTTCGACAAATCGTTCTTTCACTTCTTAGTAGACGAGCGAAATTTCGGAATATTTCTGAACTGCTAAATATTATCGGTTTCTAGGTGAATTCTCCTGATGACAACGGGGCGGTAATGGGAAATTGGTCGGACGACCATGGGGGCGGAACACCACCTACGAGATGGATGGGTTCACAGAAAATACTTCAGCAGTATTACAAGACAAAGAAACCGGTCAAGTATGGACAGTGCTGGGTCTTTTCTGGTGTACTGGCAACGATTTGTCGTACTCTCGGTATACCCTGTCGAGTGGTGACCAACTATTCGAGTGCGCATGATACTCAGGGCAGCTTAACCGTGGACTACTTCGTAAATGCAGAAGGCAAGATCATGGAGGAGCTCAACAGTGATTCCATATGGTAATTTGAAGACGAACAACGTTCAGCTTTTGCTTACAAGTCACTATACATATACTGAATATAATAAGAATCATAACAAAAATATGGACAATAATAAATAAAATCAACAGAGAAATATTCAATACAAATATGTAAAGAAGATCATATTTGAGTAAGACATTTCTCAATGCCTAATATTTTTGTCTAACTTTTTACAATTTCTAGTTCAAACAAATTGTGCATCAATTATTACCGGTCTTGAAATACGGTCTTAAACTGAGGTCTGAATAGATAATACAAATAAAATCGGCAAGCAATTTAATAGTATACTAATGATATCTTTAAAAGACAACTATAACGAATTTATTATAAAAAATATTAATAAAAAAAATATTATTTCATCTAGAATTCAAACTCATTCCGCGAAAAATAAAAAAAAATGCGAAATGCATACAAAGCGATTGATTTCATTGCTCGGTATAATCAACTATTTCAATTAAATTAACAATTTCCAATGAAAATAAAAAACGTCGATGGTAGATAAGAGAATAATCTATTTTCATCAGGAATTTCCACGTCTGGAACGAAGTATGGATGAAGCGACTGGATTTGTCGCCGGATTGTTCAGGATGGCAGATGATCGATGCTACTCCTCAAGAACTGAGCGAGGGCGCGTATCGTTGCGGACCGGCGTCGGTGGCCGCCGTTAAGAAAGGGGAAGTCTTACGTCCCTACGACAACGCGTTTCTTTTCGCCGAGGTAAACGCTGATAAAGTTTATTGGCGTTACAACGGGCCTACACAGCCGTTGAAATTAGTTCGAAAGGATATGTATGGGTACGTATGATAAGTTATCTATACGAGTATTATCAATTATTGTCGCGATCATTAGGATGACTGATTGTATTAAATAATTAAACGATGACGATTTCGCAGCATCGGTCAATTGATCAGTACGAAAGCGGTTGGTAGATGGATAAGAGAAGACATCACGCACACTTACAAGTATCCAGAAAGTAAGTGGAATTTAACAGATAATATTGAGCAATCAGATTGTGGCTTACATGCCGTTTAGAAAACAAAGTTTTTGATATTTGTATCAACATATTCATAACGGAAAGAAAGATCATGTTATTTTATTAATCATTATTTTATCTGAATTCTTATTGCGATCTAATTATGAAAAATTTATTTAATATAATATTTAATTTATTTGATATTACATATTTAATATAATACTAAATATAATATACCTGCTCCAATATAAAGCTAATTATAAGAGTAATAATAAATCATCTTTAATTTCTGTAGAATCTGATGAAGAACGTGCTGCCATGCTAAAGGCGTTACGTCAAAGCGAATCTTTATTTAGTCGTTATTATCTCAACGAGGAGTTCAACGACGTCATGTTCACTTTCGAACTGCGCGATGATATCATAATCGGGCAGCCATTCAGGTATTTATTTTGATTCAATTATTATCTCTGCAAGTATTTTTTAAATACTTAATGATTAAATAATAATGTTAATCTTCTTATGGCAATTATACGCCAAGATAATACTTGATAAGGTATAACATCATTAATATAACATATTAAAAATACATAGAATTCTTCAAATTTATTTTTAAGCGTTTAATATAAACACCTTTATCTGGTTTTTAACGCTTTGTTGAAATTTTATTTTGCTGCAATACTCATTAAGAATCTTCCTTACTTTCCGATAGTGTTGTATTACTGATAAAAAATCGACATTCGACACTGGAGTATCGTGTGTCTGTAATTCTGAGGGTGGAAACTGTGCTTTACACCGGCCGAGTAGGCGATCCGGTGAAAAGATTGCACATTGACAGACTGGTTCGACCAGGAGTACTCGAGGAAATTCGCATGGACGTTTCCTGGGAGGAGTACAGCCCGAGATTGTTAGATCAATGCGCTTTTAACATCGCCTGCCTAGCCACCGTGAAGGACACAAACTTCGAGTACTTCGCGCAGGATGACTTTCGTGTTAGGAAACCCGACATTAAAATTATGGTAATTATCAGGATACGTGTAATCAACATTTGTAAGCAACAAAAGTAAAAGAGATATAGATGCGCGATAAATAGATAGTTTACATTAAAAATTAAATTTCTTCATTTAGTTGCACAACGACGCGGTTGTCGGTCAGACTCTTCACGTTTCGGCTAAGTTCCGGAATCCATTGCCAATTCCTTTGAGAAAGGGTAGATTCCTTATCGAAGGGCCTGGTCTGGACGAACAATTAAAACTGAAGCTATTGGAACCTGTCGAGGTGGATGCAGACGCGGAATGTAGCTTTTCCATGATGCCGAGGTTAGAGGGACAAGCCAGGATAGCAGCGAAGTTTTATTCGAGGGAATTAGAGGACGTCGATGGACATTCAAACAATTTTATAGTCAAATCGACGAAGATAATCAATAATTCCGAGTGATCGTAATATTCTCTATGATATTTTAATAATGTCACATATCGTGCTTTTCATATTTTTATATTCGATTTATATTATTATGTATAAGGCTCAGGATTCTTTATTTCGTGGAAATTAAAAGAATTAAAGAGAGGCATGAAAAAATGTTCGCATACCATAATTTGAATGCATTTGGATTAGATTTCAAAATACTTGCTTAGGTCGTGCGCGAACGATGCAATAACACTGTTGAGTGCGTACGTCAGTTCTTATTTAGGTCAAGGAAATTAGTCCGTATGACCTATTGAAACTGACCTTCGTACGATCGTTCAGGGAAGAGGGAATTAAAGACGAGATTTAATAAATTAAATTAAATTATTTAAATAAAATAAATAATTGAAGGTTTATTCTGAAGATCATTAGTTTATCAATAAGTCGTGATCTTCTATATAATATTTTAAACTTTCGTTCAAATAAGATTGAAATTGTCATTCAATTCGCTTATGTTACCTCTATTCCCATGGATTATCTGTGTCGATTCTATAATTTATTTTGGCAAATTCTGACGATGATAAAATTTCTATGAAAAAAAAGAATCATGAAGTTCTTCACAATTTAACGGTACATACTTTTATAGATTTATATATATTTTTATTAATAGTGTTATAATAATCAAAAGTTATTTACTATTGTTACACACAGAGATTAAGCCATCTTCAGTATACAATCATCGTACAGTCATAATAAAAAATTAGTCCATAGATACAGAAAGAAATGAAAGGCTTCAAAAGAGGTGTTAGGTCTTATGATTGTATAACAGAAAGGAATAAATATAATAATAATTTTTCGATGTGTAATAGGAATAATAATAATTATTGTACAATTGTAATTCTAATCATGTAATTGCTCGATGCCAAAAAATTGAAACTGAATGTAATAGCTTTTCGCTAAACGCGAAGTATGTCCGTATGTATATAAATGTGTATGTGTGTGTGCGTTTCAAAGAGTATTGAATGTGAGCTATGCTGAGACATACCTAATCAAAATTATTCTTAATGTATTACCTTCTATTTATCTTTTATGATGGTCATTATTATTATCTATCGTTGTCTATACGTGTTCATATAGCTAGAATATAAAATTGCAACATTACACATTATTTTGTATGTAAAGAAAATAATTTGTGACTCATTTGACTGCGTTCACGTTTATTTCTGCCTCGATTGCAACCTGACCTTTTCATTTCTCGATCAACCTTGATGATAATCATGCATGCTTTCGGGACAGTTGACGTTCGGTCTGCCTTCGGTGTCAGAGATCGTTTGAGAGTGCATTTGTCTCTGTAAATTGCGAACCGCTTAACGGACGAGGATATCATCGAAATAACGACGGGGAATATCATCAATGCCGCATATTTCGCGCGATCTTAAGAGAGAGGGATCCCGCCGCGGTCATACTGTCCTATTTCCTGTCGGATCGTATTGGCATCGCGGGCCCGATGACGAATGATGGACGTTTAAAGCGAATGTCTGTTACTCTTAAGAAGCAACAGCACGAATGGGGTACCGGTCTGAGCCGCGGCTTCCGCGGTGAGCACCAGTAAAAAATTCAATCGACAGAGACTACCTGGCGGCCGATATTAACGACCAGCAATCGAGAGGGTCGCTGTGGCGAGTGCGTGATTATTCAGAAAAAAAGATGAAGAATAAGAACAGGGACGGATTCGTAAAATTCAATGGAATATGACTTTAACGCAGCGTAATTTACTTCGAGCTTGACACTTTTTAAAAATTTCGAAAGTATGCAGAGAGAAAAAAGTAAGATAAAAATAAATCTGATCATACAATGTTCACGAATCTAAAATATTTTTCTTTGTATCATTTTTCTGTGCCCCTCAAATAGATATTACGTATCAAAACGCGATAAGCAAGATATTTTTTACATTTTATAAAGTAATAAAGTGTGTGTATGTGTATGTGTTAGTCTATTTAATTATTTTCTATTCGATTATTCTTTCTATTGAAATTATTCCAAAGTAGTCGGTTTCAGATGTATAAGAAAAAAAGTCGCCATTCGTCCCTGCAGAAGAAGAAAAAAGAAGAGAAGAACCTTACGCGCGCGCGACAGCGGGAGGGAACAAAAAGGGGATGCGGATGATGATGAGCTCCGGGCTGATACGAGGCCAGGTTGATGCGAACGATGTATCACCATCCGGGAAATTAATGTTGAAATATGGGCCTGGATGAACGATACGCGGCGCCCAGGCGGGACCAATAGGGACCAACGAGGAAGCGCGCAGTGGTGAAGAAGAGGATTCCACGATGGCCAAAAGTGGAAGGGAGATGAGATTGTTACGGGATCGATTAATGAATCGTCGGGCGAAATAGTAAGGGGACGAGAATATCGGCGCAGCAAATTGGACAGAGAGTTGAAGGGATGAGTGATGAAAGGAAGCAGGTTGGACGAGTGATTGGAAAGCAAATGCGAACGCGTGCTAAGTTTTGGTGCCTCACAATTGATCGCGAATAAAGCTTTATTTATCTTCCCTGGATCATCCTTAGATGGTTAGGTCGCTACTAGATCTTAAATCGAAGTACGATCTTCTCTATGCATATTGTGAAATTGTTCACTTTTATTTTTAATTCGTTCTTTTAGGAGCGAATGCTGCATATTTGCAACATTCAATTTATAATTAAATTCAGAATAAATTCAAAGTAAATTCGGAATTTTCCCTCTAAAATGTTTATGGACTTTAATGGAATTTAATTCTAAGGATAAAGGATGATAAATGAATATTGAAAAAGAATGGCTCAATTGTCAATTTTTAAGAGTGAGATTTCACTCTTTAGAGTTACAAGATTTTATTCCAAAGATTTTAGAAAGTGATTAATTACAAATTAGTTACTTCAATGAAGATGGAAATGTATTTAGCAGTATGTGATAGTGAATTCGGTTGGACGTAATTATGCGCACTGAAGCACATATTAAAATTATTGTACATAAATTGACGTAAATGTGTGTGTTTAATATAAACACAGAAATGGAAATTAAATTACCAGAAGGTTAAAATTCTGTATTGAAGCTGATTTTTAAATTATTAACATACATTCTTCACTAAGGTTATCTTTGCTCCAGACTTTGGAGCTTTCTGACAAAACCGATTCTTTGAGGGTGGATGAATTCTCTCTTACGTAGGACAAAATCTTGATTAACATGCGACAGAACGGTTGTACGACGAAGCGTCAGGCGAGGTAAAAGGAATCGTGGGAGAGGGTTCAAGGATGCAGGATACGCAGAGTGACCGAGGGGGAGAGAGAAAGAGAAGGGAGATACTCAAGATGATAGTGAGATATGTCTAAATACATAACCGTGACACGTGATGGACGTGTTGCGGCCGGTGTCTACGGGGGTCTCGACGAGCGGGGGCCCGACCAGGGCCCGCGGCACCCCGCTACGCGCTATGCATCAACACCCGGGATCCATCCCATTATACCTCATCAAAACAACAAACACGCCTTCCACGTTAAACCAACATCCTTTTGTTCCCATCGAATCCCGCGTATCCATCAGGATCGCCGCGCGAAGGGTACACGTCAGTGACGCGATCTCTTCGACGGGGGGTCCTCGCGGCCATGAGGGGGCGGGCGAGGGAGAGGAAGGAGCAGAAGGAATTCGTGGAGATCTCGTGAAATGTTATTAATGCCGCGGGGTCAGAGGGATAAGCACGCTCGGGAAACGTCCTCCTGTAGATTTGTACCTGTCTTCGTCTCGTCTCGCCGTAGGAACGAACGACGAAAGATGTTGATTCGTGGTAGAAAAGCGCATGCTGCGATATAAATAATCCGGGTGCTCTCCGGCATGCACACACGGCGAATAAGAAGGGCCCCCGGACCGAACGACGGGTTTGGGAAAATTGGTCATCGACTCTGGAATTCTCTCGGATGAGTTATTTCGTCGGAGCGTTTGCTCATTTCAATTTGTAGAGACAAAGAGATTTATGCCACTCAAGCGGAGTGTGATAGTGACGAGGATACGGTACCAATTAATAAAAAGTAGACACCGGTAGATACATCGATGCATTAAATTATATTGGTTTAAAACGGAACCTCGTCGTTTAGAATAATTTTCAACTAGACGTAAGTACAAAATAATATAAACATTTATTAATTTTTACATATCGAGATTTAATAAATAAATAAATCTTTGTAAAACATAAAAGTATAAATAAATATACTTCAAAAAATGTTCGATCGCTTGGTGCCACCTACTTTGGTACCATAAGTTGTTCTTAGATGGCAGCACATAATACTTATAGCAAGAAAACTGAAGGAAACTTGATGTTGAAGATTTAAAAAGGTATATAGTAATAAAAAAAACTAAAGCAAAAAAAATGCAAATCAACATTTTGGATCTATGTTACCACTACGTATTGTGATAAGCTGATTTACTTATTATTTACGTTTAGCTTTATTATGTTTTTCTGCGTGCCATGGAACTTTTTTTGGCAATAAACTATTAAAATTATCATTTATAAATTAATTCCAAATTGCGTTCGCACAGCTAATACTGTGTAGGTGAATGAAACGTCAGAGATTGATTTGCGATGTCTCTCCCAACGTTGCGTTAAAACAAAATAATGTATGAAGTTCCATGCATAAAGATGTCTGGAATGCAAAGTCAATCCTTGATGGATAACCATGAGGATAGATAATCGCGACTTTAAGAACTCTCTTACGATTTCTCGCGCTTTCTCACGCTCTCTCGTGTCTCTTGTGAATAAAAGAGAGGAAGCGAAATGGCTTCCGAAAGTGTCCGAACGAAGTCGATCGATCAGCGATGAGGCTCGGCTGTACCGAGAGCGACTGAGTTTATTGCCAATCATATACAACCGTAATCGAGGATAGCATCAAACGCGCGTGACTCCAATAATCCATAATGGCTCACTCGTTATGGTCGACATGTCAATCTGACCGCGTATCTTTCGACCACGTATCCTCCTTCCGTTCATTTATTAGGCGATTAAA